TTAGCAGTTTATGGTCCAGTAGATATTCTCATATATTCCTGGTGGGGTTATCAGTTAATAAATCTTTGAAGGAGACAATTTGACAGTATTGATTAATATTAAATATGCATGTGTACATTAAACCAGAAAGTCTGGGGGCTGGGGAGATGGCTCAGTAGGATAAGTGCTTGACTGGCAAACGCAAGGATCTGAGTTCAATCCCCGGTTCTGCCAAAAAAAAAAAAATAATAATAATAAAAAAAAAACCCAGAAAGTCTGCATTGGGAATTTATCATCCAGTTATGATCACACATGGGCAGAGTGACTTAACAAGAATTTGTACCTAGTACCATATTTTTGAAACAGAACATCGGAAACCACGTAGAGGCTGACTAACAGGGGTCTGGTTAAATAATACTTGCAGCAGTATTAAAATGAATGCACTAGGGCTGGGGTGATAGCTTGGTGGTCTAAGCGTCTCCCTGGCAAGGACCCAAGTTTGATCCTCAGTGGTGCCCTCAGTTTGATCCACAAGTGGTGCCCGCCCAAGACCAGGAGTGCTGGTGCACGCCTGTAATTCCAGCACTGGGGAGGCCGAGGCAGGAGGATTACTAGGAGTATGAGCTGGGTACCAAATGAATAAGTAAATAAATTAAAAAAAAACACTTTAAAAAATGAATGCACTCAAAATCCGTGATGTATTGTTAAGTGAAAGAATCAGGGACTAAAAATTGTATAAATATTTGCACTCACACATGTATGTATTTGCACATATATTTTCTGTTAGAAAGGACAATAGAGATATATCCTTGGGTCTGTTGATAATTGTTCCAAGAAATTGCGAAGAAGCACAAGAAAACATGAATGACATTGGGCAGTGTGAGAAGCCAAAAGGAGGTGTGAAAAAGAGTTGGAGTGAGATTTAAAAAAAAAAAAAATACTGTTTTACGCTTTTTTATTTTTGAATGAGTTATTGCTATTGAGAAATTACATTTAAGAATAAGTGAGAGTTTGTCGAAATACCATTTAATTGGCCGTGATTTGTCTATTTTGTCATTGGTACAACCTTGTATTTTTGTTTGTTTTCTTCTTGCTGAGATCCTGGTTTCATTTGTTGGCTCCTAGTTGTTCAGTTGGATTTTGCCTTCCTCTAGCTTCCCACTTACATCTCCTACTCAAGATCCACAAATGTCAAGCCATGAATATTAAAAAGATTGCATGCATCAGTACCCCTCACAGCTCTTTTATAACTTCTTTCCTACATTGTGCACAGATTTGAACATGGGAGACAAACACTTCTATTTCAGTGTAATTTCTGACTCTGGTTATGGCAGTTCTTCATATCTAGGATATGAACTGTTGCTTAAGCTGCTGGAGAGCTGCCCAGCCATCTTCATCTGGTAGAAATCACTACATTTTGGCAGGAAACTGAATGTCTTCATTGTGAGAAAGTGAGCTTTACATTCTCGTACTTCTCAACTGAGTGAAGGTGCAGCCTCGGGCAGCACTGCCGCTTAAATACGCTAAATGTGTGTCCCAACTGCTCATCATAACAGTTCTAATGACAGTGACATGATATCTTATTTAGGACAGAGACAATGGGGACTTACACACTCACTGCCCCTCAGCATACATGGCAGAGCTGGGGCAGGGGATGTTCTTGTGTGGGGAGGTGCTGGGGTGCAAACGGATGACCTGACAGCTGTGTCCAAGGCAGGATGAATGCCTTCCCCCGGCAGCACCTGAATGATTCAGATCTTCGTATTTGATCTCAGTTCTGATTCTGTTTTGGTTCTGTTTAATGCAGCTTCGATGAGTCTCCTTTTTTCCCCCTTGGCAGGGGTATCAGCGCTGCCTGTTTTCCTATGTCCTGCTTGCACTGTTGCCATTTTTCTTTGTCTTATCACTTAATATTATTTCCTTCTAGTCCACCCACTGGTTTTATTTTAGCTGCTGCTTCCTTCCTAGTTAGTTCCTGGATTTTGTGAGAATGCTTCCAAGCCTTATAGTTAGCCTGCTACAACCTGTGATTTTTTTAAAAGTTGATTTTATTTCATTTATTTATTTATTTATTTTTATTTATTTGCGGAACCAGGGATTGAACTCAGGCCCTTGCACTTGCCAGAGAAGCGCTTATTCCGCTGAGCCATCTCCCTGGTTTGTGCACTGCTGGGCGTCTTCTCTAGGGCATTCTGCTTTCAGTTGGCTGGTTTTTTTTTTGTTTGTTTGTTTGTTTTTTTGTGGAACTGGGGATTGAGATTGAACTCAGGCCCTTGCACTTGCCAGGAAGCGCTTATTCCACTGAGCCATCTCCCTGGCCCCTCAATTGGCTGTTTTTGAAGCTCTGATTCTTTCTACCTGCTCTTTCTTTTCTTGGTGAGCAGTATGGGCAGGCAGTGGGGAGAAGGTGGCGTCATGCTCCTTTTACCCCATGGAACACTGGATCCTTCAGAGGCTCAGCAGGCCACCAGGATGTCTTTATATTAGAAATTATTCTTTATGAATAACATTAGTGCCCTAGTTTAAGTCATTTCTCATAAGACCTGTCTCTGAGAGTTTTGACAACTTCTGTGTTTTGTAACTGTTCTGTTCCTTTTTGTCAAATGGGCCACCATCCGGAAGCATGTCAGTTTTTAAAACTGATTTTTGAGTTCCCTTTTGATTTTGTGTTGGTGCATTTAAAAACATATCTTGGCCAAGTTTTTGAGATTTAGAGTTGTTATTACTCCCCAGCATTTGGGTTATAGACTGGTAGGAAATGCCATCAATAGCTCCCAGTGTAAGGTCATCAGTCCCAATTCAGTTTCAGGCTGAATTCATTTCACCTAGAGTGCATGTATTAATTACATATTAGTCAGCTTCAGAGAGGGGTGTGCCTATAGAAAGTGACAAAGTTGACGTTCATTCATTTCTTTCCTGTCAATGCACTGTTGGTCCCTGTCAGCATTTACCTTGTGCTTTGTGATTGGCAACTTCCCAGTAAGAAGAATGGATGGTGTGTGTTGAAAGTGGCCTGGATGTGTTCGTTGTGTGACTGTTGAGGGGACAGAGCTACCCTAGGAACTCTCTGGAGCAGGGTGTGGAGCCAGACGGCATGCACGGGAGTGCTGGCCTTCTCCCAGCCAGCCTGCTGTGAGCAGCAGCAGCAGCGTTCATGCCAGCGCCTGGAGCAGAGGAAGTGGAAAAGCATGCCAACCCGTGTCACTTCCGTGGATTCTGAGCCACGCAGGAGCCTCCTGTGAGATGGCGGCATGGTGGGCAGAGGAAGGCAAGGCTGCTGGAGTGTCCACTTGGCCTGGAAAGGTGTTTCTTTGTAGTCACAGGAAGTTCGGCTTCTGGACACACTGATAGCGGGAAAGGCTGGAGTCGTCCAGCAGTTCCACTTTCTTGGCAAGAAATGAAAGGAAAATGTGTTGAAAATAAAAAGGAAGAATTCTTAGAAGAGCGAGAAAAAAAGTGTCATTAGAATTTTTCCGTTTAAGGGAAACTATTTGGAAAGGTTTTCATTGTCATTTTCTCTATTTATGGCTCCCCACACCCCCGAACGCTGTGATCCCTGCCTCCCCGTCTCTGAACATCGGCTGGCCCCGGACTCAAGGCTTGCTAGGGGTTGGGAGGGGGGTGAGGCCTCCTCCCTGTGCGCTTTGTGTGGGAGCAGAGGCCTGCGGCTCTGGAAGCCTGGAGCATCCTGAGGGGGTGACCAGTGATGGTGCTTATTACTTTCCCCTCATGTGTCCCTTGAGCCAGTGATGGCGAACCTTTTAGAGCTTTAAGTAATAGCACACGGCTGGCAGTGGCACACTTGCCACAGGTTCACCATCCTGCTCTAGGCCATTATCCCATGGGCATCATCACTTACATTTGGGTTATTGCAAGTGTCCCCTTGTAACTGGTTATTTATTTAATTTAGAGGGTTTTTTAATTTTTTCATATATATTTTTTTTAACTGGGAATTGAACTCACAGCCTCACACTTGCCAGGTAGGCACTGTGCTACTGATCTATATTCCGAGCCCTGGTATATATTCTTAATCAGCTACATAAGCAGTCTTTGTCCTTTACATGTATATTACATTTATTTTCTTGTAATTGAATTCACTTCTACTTGTAGAGAAACAAGGATGTGCCTACAGTTATATCTTTCAGGGTAAATTTTGACAAAGCTACATTTTATTTTATCTTATTTTAAAGTGTTTGGTACAGGGTCTCACTATGCAGCTCCGATTTACAGTGACCTTCCTGTCTTCAGCCTGCCCAGTCCTGGGATTACAGGTGTACGCCACCACACCCAGTCTCAGTGGCCGGTTCAGCATGCCCGGCGGTGGGACCAGCGCAGTATGTGTTGCAGGGATCAAACCCAGGTCCCTGTGCTTGCTTAAGCAGGTGCTTAGTCTGCTAAGCCATCTCACCAGCCCTAAAGCTAAATTTTATATTTTATTATTATTATTATTATTATTATTATTATTATTTTTGCAGAACTGGAAATTGAACTCAGACCCTTGCACTTGCCAGGCAAGCACTTATTCAACTGAGCAATCTCCCCAGCCCCAAGCTAAATTTTATTATTATCTTTTATTTATTTATTTATTTATTTATTTATTTTTATTTATTTATTTTTGGTGGAACCAGGGATTGAACTCAGGCCCTTGCATTTGCCAGGGAAGCACTTATTCCACTGAGGCATCTCCCCGGCCCCCTAAATTTTATTTTATTTTTTTGCTCAAAACTGCTTTATTCTAGGATGTTTCTATGACTCTTGGAAATCTCAGGGTTTCATTTTATGGTCTCAAAAAGGTCATTTTCCTTCATATAAGTATTTAGTAAGAAGCAGTGGATAGGATTGACATTCTTCCACTGTCATCATCACAACCAGTCAGAACATGGTATGTGGACATTCTAATTGGTGGCTGAGGCAGGACCAAGGGAGATGTGGAGGGACGAGCAGCCCTGTTCAGTGTGTGCACTGGTGAAACTCTAGTATGTCCCTTCCCCTGTGAAATGCAGTGTGCCAGCCCCAGATGAGTTCACATCATGTGCTCCCCGCTCAGGCCAGCCTCATCTGTGGAAACCAGGGCCAAGTTCTACTCTTGTCCACAAGATAAGAAATAGGATTAGAGGCAAATCATGAACAGAACTTGGGGCAGAAAGAAAGGGACTCCAGTGGAGAGGACCTGGGCTTCCCAAGGCTGCCACCCCAAGAATATCTCTGGAAGCAGCACCAATTCTGAAGATGGAGCAGAGGAACCACTGTCCATAGTCAGGGTCAGAATCCGGGTCTGAGGAGAGCTGCCCCTCCATGGTCTCACACATGGCATCTTGCAGGGATGTAAGGTGACCCTGGGGACTCATCCCCATGGACTGGATGACTCTGTGCCTGGAAAGCTTATCAAACATGTTCACCAGCTTCATGGCCTCATGCTCCTTCTGCTCCTCCATTATGCCCTCCATAGGGTTTGGTGGCTTCTCTTCCACCCTGCCAGTCACTGGGTTGATGCTGGCCTTGGCTTCCTTGTACTTGTCTGTGTTTGTGTCTTCATCCTCTGAGTACTGCCCCTCAGTCCGGCCCCCTGCCATGAGGCCTCAGGCAGCCAGAAGGCCAGCCGCATTCCCATAGCCTGTGTACTTGGTGAACTGGGGCACACTCTCAGAGCACAGGGCAAAGAGGAACTCCTCCGCTACCCTCTTCACATCTGTGTCCAGGTGTGTCATGAGACATGCCAGCTTGTTCCGAAGTAGCTCTCCCACCTCAGGCCGAGTCCTTACATCATGAAGAGGCGGCAACACCTGGGCCTTCAGGCACTTCCTGGCTGGACGGTGCATGCGGGCTCACTCAGTCAACACACTTAGCACAGGAGCCACGCTCTCCTTCAGCCTGTGGGTCTGATGTAAGCGCTTCTCTAGGAAGGAAAGGAGGACACTGATGACATCCATGTTCACTCCCATGAACTCCAAAGAGCCTTCATGTAGCTCCAGGGTGAGGAGGACATCCAGCACTTGAGGGGCACATTCCCTAGGAGATTCACGGTGTGGCCATGGAACTCCTCTGTGCGGTCTCCAGCAGCAGCAGTCATCACACGGTGGCACAAAAGGGTCCCCAGGTATTGGTAAAGGGCAGCGTCTTCCTCTACTTCCCTCTTGATGGAGTCAAAGGTGATGTTGAAGAGCACTCTGAGGATCTCCATGACCCGCTTGGTCTCTTGGAGAGAAAGGACTTCTGGGGGGGGCTGTCTTCAGGGGTCACTCCCAGTGTCAGCTCCAGTGTATCAGTCAACAAGTGTACACAGGCAGCTCCTGAAATAGCTGCTGGCGCACATCGATGCGTAGCACAGTTAGCAGAAAGAGGAGCCGCAGATCAAAGAACTGCACCTCATGGGGGAAGCTCCTCTTGCCATATAGCCCCACATGCTCCGTAAGCTTCATCACCAGACGGGCCTCAGCAGCAAGTGCCTGTGCCACAGAGCTGCTGAGAACAAGGTTGCACAAGCACTTGAGGGACTCCAGCAGAACACCCATATCAGAGGCCTCTGGGAGGGACCCCTCAGAGGCAGATATGTTAGCATAGGAGGCTAGTGCGTGCAGGCTCTGGCTGCTGGTGAACGGAGCCAGGCAGCTACGGTCCCGGGCCTGGATTCGTACAGTCTTCAGCCAGATGGCACGGTGTGAAAGTGGCAAGCTCTGTTCCAGGACAGACGCCAGCAGTTTTGCAATGCTCTTTCTGTCTTCTTGCTGGGCATCATCAAAGGTGAAGCTTTCCGAGTGCTCCTGGTTGTACATTCTCAGAGCTTCTGCAGTCACATCTTCTTCTCCAGTCTCAACTGTGTCTGCAACCACCCGGGCTCCATGGCCCTGGGAACTGGTGCTGTTCCTAAATTTTAAATACCTCTAAAAAATTCTGTATCTAGATTGTTTGACATGAAGCACCGCTGTCAATAAATTATATTAATTTAAAACTCCCAAATGGAATACACTTTGTATCTGTTACAGTATTTTGAAATTCTTTTTTCTTTTTTTTTTTGGCGGAACCGGGGATTGAACTCAGGCCCTTGCACTTGCCAGGGAAGCGCTTATTCCACTGAGCCATCTCCCCGGCCCCAGTAATTTGAAATTCTTTACATCTCCACTCTCCTTAATTTCTTTTTTAAATTTTTTTTATTTTTAAAAAATTTTATTTATGTGTGTGTGTGTGTGTGTGTGTGTGTGGCCAGCTCAGCCCACCAGGGGGCGGGGCTGGCTGGCATGTGGTGCTGGGGGATTGAACCGCGGTTCCTGTGCTTTGCTAAGCTTGTTCTAAGTAGGTGCTTTAGACCACTGAGCCATCTCACCAGCCCCTCCTTAATTTCTTAGAGCGGTAGTTTCCTGTTTTGTGAAATGGGTGTTCACTAATAAATGTTAGTTTTCCTTCAGTGCTTTTTCTTCCTAAGAAGAAAACTGCGGGGCTGGTGAGATAGCTCAGTGGTCTAAAGCACCTACTTAGAACAAGCTAAGCTAAGCACAGGGACTGCAGTTCAATCCCCCAGCACCACATGCCAGCCAGCCCCGCCCCCTGGTGGGCTGAGCTGGCCACACACACACAAAATAAATAAATAAACAAAAAAAATTAAAAAAAAAAAAAAAAGAAGAAGAAAACTGCATGCAGGCATGCTTTAAATCGTGGTACTTAAAAATGTTTCCTTTGCAATATTTACTAATTTAGTAATATTTAAAATTTAATACTTGTAATATTTAAATATTAAGTATGAGAGACTCAACTAATTCTATTAATATAAAATGCAGAGAGTTTTCCACGGGTTCTTAAACCTTCATTTCTGTTTTCTAAAAGAAACTGTGACTTCATTAAAGGGTCCATAGATGAATGTCCTTCTGTTCTGGGGTGGAGACAAGCTGCAGTGAGGCTTTTGCCCCCTGTCCCTGAGGCTGTGTGGGACTGTCCCCTACTCCGTGCCAGTCTGGCCCATTTTCCTGAGAAGACTGGAGCGAGGTCCTATTTTGGGACATGACCTGCTGCTGAGCTAGCGGGGTGATCCTGCCTCTTTATACTTGTTTCCTGCCTTACATAAGGATGCTCTCCTGGGGGATGCTATCTGCAGCAGTGGTTAGTAGTTGTTTTGATGACATTAACAACTGGCTGAAGTATGCTTTGAGGAGATCTCAGCCATCTGCCATTGTAGGTTTTGCCAGATTTAAGTGTGGCTGTATTTCTGTTAGGTCAAACCTCTGACTCCAGTGATTCTCTGAATTACTCAGTTTTCATTGAACAAAGATTTCTATGAACTGCAGTTTCCTAGCTTGGATTTCTTGAAATCCTAGCCTGGAGAGGGTGAGGTCATGATTAATGGAGGTGATTCCAGGAGGTAGAAGGGAGGAAGTGGAACCAGGGTCACAGGCATGAGAGAAGGCCAGCCAGAAGTGAATTACTGAGGTGGCTTAACGGTATAGGAGCCTCGTTCTAGCAGAAGTTGGCCCCAGGGGCAAGAGCAATGGTGCCCCAGCTCCGCATGCCCAGGTGCTGCTTGCTGGAGCGGGCACTCAATGGCCTGGCCAGACGCTAGACTGAGAGTGGAGGGGTGGGACGTGCACCTGAAGCAGAGTGCTGACCTCTTTGGGGACGTCTGACTCAGTCAGGACAGACCACCACTGGTGCAACAGCCACCACAGTGGGCGGAGAGCACGTGGCACCATGTGCCAAAGTGTCCACTGCTGACAGAGCCCTCAGCGTGGACAGCACTGATTCTTTATTCTGCTTTTATAATGTGACACATACGACTTTAAAGCATATTCATTGATTGACGTATTTTTCTTTTCTTTTCTTTTCTTTTTTAAGGAAGGAAAGGTTTATTTAGCTCACAGCTACTGGAGGTTTCAGTCCATACTCAGCTGGGTCCAACACAGAGCAGCACAGAGCAGAAAGCAACCTTTCATGGTGGCAGCAAAGATCAAGAGCCTGACATATTTTTCTTGAGGCCTCCATAAATCTAGATAGTTGTGCTTGTTTTACATCTAATGTGTTTTGAGGTAAAATTATAATTATCTAGAGACAGAGTATTTCCCTATCAAAGACAGATGAATTTATATTCTCATTTACTACTTAGGCAGAAATATGAACATACATATTTTAAAACGGATTTCAGTAAAAAGATTTGGAAAAAGAAAGTTTTCTGATTAACCTTCATTTAAGTTTCCTGATTAACCTCAAAGCCCAACATTCTTCACAGGGAACACTCGTATTATCAAAAATTTTCACTATTTTGGGGCCTGTAGACTCCAGCCGTTTTTAGTATCTCTCCCAGATAATGTATGAAAACTGTCCAGGGAATGCTTTTTTCCTTGTGAGTTTGGCACAGAGAGGGTTTGGTTTAATAAAACATTACCTTTATTATTGCACTTATCTGGGTCAGAAAATTATATAAACTAAATAATTAAATCATTAAAATGGTGAGCACACACCACTAATGATAAAGCCTACTTTATTTTATTTTATTTTTGTTAATTTTATTGAGAAACAAATAATAATGAGACAGTTTCAAAACAGGGTAGTAAGACAGTTACAATAATGAATACGTTGCATGTTGTTGTCTTTGTAGTAATTTATAGTACAAGATACAGACATGATATCCTGTTTAAACACTATTAGTACAGAGGCTACTTTAAATACTAAAGATGGGATATTCTACGAAGATACCTGTGAAATCTGAGTGCGGCAGACCTTTTCTGGGGCAGGCAGCACAGCGGATCATTTGCAGAGGGCTTCGATCTCTGTGGCGGTGCTCAGGTCTGCCATTGTAGCCTTACAGCACAGGCAGGGCACAGACATATGAGTTTTTTGTTGTATCCCAATCATATTATATTACAAAAATAGTGGTGGCCTCTAGCATGGACCTTTTCCAGTATTAGAAGAGTACAGTGGTGTTTTGTTTTTTTTTTTAGACAGGGTCTTTATGCAGTTTGTGCAGGCCTTGTGCTCACTTTTGTACTCCCTAGGCTGGTCTCGAACTTGAAGAGATCCTCCTGTCTCAACCTCCCGAGTGTTGGGATTAAAGGAGTGGGCTACTACTCCTGGTTCTGGGGCCATGCAGGGCCACACGTGGGTGTCTGGGGATCTGGGGTCAAGACTGCACAGAATGCAGGGCCAGGGATCCAACTCAGGTCCTTGTGCTTGCCAGGCAGGTGCTTATGCTTCTGAGCTATCTCCCTGGCCCCTAGTACATTATTTTTGGTGAACATAGATTTCTCCCTTCAGTTTCTCCCCTTGGAGCTGCATTCCAGTAGAAAGAGGTCCCATCACTGAATGGCTTTCATGTTCTGGGATGAGGGCTCAGCCAGCCAGTCTGTTTTCCTGGCTCTTTGCTCTGGTGTTGCCTTATGTGGGACACAGATCTCAAATCAGCCTTTACATTTTTACTAGAATTTGTATTGCTGATTTTCAGATTTCTTAATGTCTCATAGTCTCCAATTGCTCTACAAAGACAGAAATAAAAAATTCTAGAATAAATATGTACCCATCCCTAAGAACCATAAGAGGTGAGGTGTGATTGATCCACATGATGAATATTGAAATTAAAACTTTATCACAGTGAAAGACACACATTGCCATTAACTCCACACAATCCTCTTCACGTCTGACACACTTATCTCAGTACTCTGGCCACTTTCTGAAGCAGTTCTGGAATCCTCTTGCTGAGTGTCACATGAAATGTGATTAGAAAAAAGTGAGTGAGTGCTGCTGCCCATTGCTGTCCCGCTGCAAGACAGGCTTACTTGGCGTTGTGGTGTGGAGCGTCCTTGTTCACCAGATCAGGCACCTGTGACTTTTGACTTAGCCAGAGTCAAAGTGACCATGACAGGTAGGTGTTTTGAATTGATTGGGAACACAGAGGCAGCCACGACAATGCAACTAATGACACTCATAAAAGAAATGCTTTAAAAAGTAGCAAGAATGATGGGATCAGTGTGTGTAATGTGTGAGAAAGTATTTCGATAGGCGGTAATTTCAGTGAGTCTTTTTCTGTAATAAATTAAAAAAATTTTAAACCCTCACTGTATTTTCTTACTTACACCAAGTATGAGGCATGTGGAATTCTTTTGACAAAGTGCTTTGCTGTAAATATTTTATGTATGATGGGGCTGATTTGGAGAGAGGACATCACTGTTTCCTTTCTTGGAGAAAATTACCCTAGTACACAAAGAAGTTGCTCGTGTAGTATGTAGAGTGGCTGGTCAAGCAATTTCTGTGTTACATACTTCCATTGTCATTTTTTCCCCTTAATTTACTTAGATCTAGTGAAGATTTGGATACTGCAGCATTACTCATTCAAATACATTGGGAAGATATCAGCAGACCTGTGTAGTGAATGTATAGTACATATGCTGCATAGGCATGCACTGCTATGGTTATGTTCATTATGGTATCATGATGAATGTGCATTAATGAGTGAACCTGTAACGAGTGCATTACAGGAGAGAAGGCTGAGCGGAAGCTAGGGTGCTCCTCTCCACGTACGATGTCTAGGAATAAAGTCACAGGTAGAATTCACTCAGGATGCTGAAGGAAGGCTCCAGGTCCTGTGGATCTTTTGAAATAGAAGTCCCTTAACAGCTGGCTTCAGACTGGTGTGCCTGCTGCCAAAAAGGTGCACAGGCAATTTTTATGTCTTTAACCTTTATAGAGATGTTTAAAAACCAAGCTTGCTTGAGAATATCTGCCTGCAACAGGTCTGCCAGTTCTGTTTTCTTTTTACAATTTTATTTTATTTTTTTCCCATAATTTTATTGATAAATAGCAAGGAGACAGTTTCAAATCAAATTGGTAGGACAGTTTCAATAATTAACACATTGCATACATTCTTCTTAGTGGTTAATTGCTGTACG